CCCCCCCCCCCCCCACACACACACACGTTTCTCTCCACCGTCACAAATCATCACAAAAAGTCACAAATGTCTGCACCGCCTATGAAAAAATCCCATTGTCCACTACTGTCTCTTACAATCTCTTAAAAAAAGCTCCTCCCAAAATCTGATATCGAATTACTGAACCTGTGTCAGTTAATAATAATAATAGTTAATAATTATAAGTATAAGTATTCTATAAAAGAATAATGTTTAAAAAGTCTATAATTTAATGTTATTAAAAGGGCAATATTTTTATATTGAACAATTATTATGTTCCTCTTTTATTTAAGTTTTGAAAAATATGTTTGTAATTTTGAACTTTTGAGTATCAAAATTAAATTGTAATCTTTAAATTATCAACAAAAGTAGAATTATTCCCGAGTACCCTGTCCCTAAATCCCTCCCCGCAAAAAAAAAAAAAAAACAGCAGACCACCGTTCACTCAACTAAGTAGACGAAAAGAACATAACTGTAACTACGATCAACTGAACTGAGCGATATGTAAACAAGTTTTAAAAAACAAATACGCTCCACAAGATGGAAATGAACTTAGAAATAAACTCTTAAATAATAATAATAAAAATAATAAAAATCGAGTTACAGTTACATAACTGAAGCTTGAAAATTGAAGAAAAAAAAATTAATTGAAACCGTCCAATGTGTAATAAAAGCAAGCTGAAACTTAATATTAACATTTAAAAGGAGAAATTAGCTAGTTGAATGTCCGAATGCACTGGAACTGCAGGAAAAATATATTAATTCATAAATGATATGCAGAAAAACTGGACTCCGGTTTAAAAGTAGAGTTATCTTAAATCTTAAATGAGCGTTTTAGTACACATTTCTTAAATTTAAAGATTTAGGCTAAATGTCTGTCAGGTGGTGTATCAATAAAGTGACTTTTGTAGGTCCCTTACCAATTTTCAGTTGTATGCCCTTTTCATCCAAAGTTGATAGTTTAATTGTGTTCCATATCACGACCTTTAGGCCCCTTAAATACCCGAGCCCCATAAAGCCTGGTAACAAAACAATTCGTAAACGCTTCCTTGGACCAGTGGTCGGCAAATCGCGGCTCGCGAGCCACATGCGGCTCTTTAGTGACCTGAGTGCGGCTCGGCCAGACGGCCACAAATCGGTTTTGACCCCAAAAAACATGTTTCTTGAAAAGAAATTTGGCTCTCACGGACTCTCAAAAAATGTTTAATCGTCCTGCTGCTGCTTTTGGGCACTTTTGACTAATACATTTGCCGAGCACTGCCTTAGACAGAACTCAACAAAGGTAAGGTTTTGAGAGAGGATTTTGAATGTGTCACACAAAAATTAAGCGACCCCCCTCCCCCACTTTCACTTAATTTTCAGGCTTAGCCCCTGGCGCCACTTATCGGTATGACCATCATATTTAACTCAATGATTTTACTTGGACTCAAGATCTGCTCTTGAGATCTTGGGTAGGAGAGCGGGTACCACTCCTTTAGTTGGCGCCATCATGGGTGACGTGGCAAGATCGGTGGAATAAGCGGAACGTTAACAGTGCAGTATATTCCAGGACACGTTAACGTCAGTGGCAATGAAAAAGCAGACACCTTGTCGAAAACCAGGACTGCTCAGCCTCAGCCAGATGTATCAGTATCGTATCTAGGTTAGGGTGACCAAGTCATGAACTTGAAAAAATGGGACACTTTCAAGGACGGCCTGGGGAGGGGGGGGGTGGGTACCAATACAAAACACATTATTGAAAACTGTGCATCATAGCGTCCCTTTTTAATATATACTCCTCCATAAACTTACATTGACGCTTGGGCATAATTATTGTCTACATGAGAAGATAATATAAAATTAAAGAATGAAGTTCAACACCCAAAAACAAACACATGTCACTCTGACACGAACAGGCCGGCAGGATCACACATAAGACTAACACATTGCACGTAGTGGAATCAAAATTGTTTTCTGCGTGCAGTTACATCCTTCCCCCCCCCCTGCTTCAAGTCTCATGTCTTTCGCTATACATTTACATATAAGATCTATGACAGGGACACTGGTGGAGGGGGAACAGTGCAGCCATCCCACCAGCCCACATCACTACTGGCACTGGCTACACAGCTAGCCAAAATATTATATAAATTAGGAATTTTTTGTTATTTGAAAATGGGTTTGGTTTAAAAACGGGACATTTAGGCGTCCCGAGAGACTTTTTCGGGACAACGGATACGATCGTTTTTACGGGACGTTTGGCCACCCTAATCTAGGTTAAAAACTGGTTGGCGGATCATTTTCGAACATAATGGTACAGGCAGTGGGCAGACAGCACAACAGCCAGAAATGTATTCGCTAACATGCCGTCTCCTATCAGACAAGACCTACGGTGGGGGTTAGGTCGCAGGCAGCAGAGTCTAGTGAGACAGATGAGCACTGTCCCATCGGCACGTATTTTAACAAGCAATATCCTAACTGTACTGGGACTGGGATCCTAACTGCCCATCATTGCAGCCTAGCCCCCGGAAACACTAGCACATATGTTGACCGATTGTCCCCCACTACATGTTTCAGGGGAGGACAGGGCGGCGGGAGAGCCCCACGTGAGGAAGATGTTTTATGGCGCATCTCAGCAGACGGAGTTGATTGCCAATGTACTAGCCGGGGTCGTAAGAGTCAAAAGAGTAATCTCAGATCTTCACCAGAAGATGTGCGTTAGTTAGTTTAATATTATAAGGTTTCCGTGCTTAAAAATAAAGTGGCTGAGCTCTGCATCATAAGATAGTTTTTTTTTGTTTTTTTTAATCATTTTATCCGGTTTTTCATCCACGTGTGCTTTTGACACCACATTCCAATTCAGGTGTTCCTGAACTCTTTTATTTTGTACTAACCTGATTGCAGTCTCTCTCCTTATTACCCCGAAAAGAAAGAGAGGAAGGCCAAAGAATACACGGAGACGCGAACTAAAGGCAGACACGCAAACTATGGGATACACCTGGAAGCAAGTGGACATGAAAGCACAGGATGGGCAGTTTTACAATATTCCGACAATTCCGTTATAATTGATGCCACCGGAAGAATGTGATACAAGAACAGAATGCCACAAGAACAGAAATATTATTTGATTCTGTTTTTTTTTTTTTACTATTGTTTGTTTATTTACTATTGTCGGCTTCTTGCCGACACGTTCGTAGTTTTGTTGATTCATTTTTTTCACATTTCCCCATACTTTGTTTCGCCCATTTCCTTTTTTATAACCTGATTGTAGGCTCTCCCCCTTATCATCATTACCCTATATCTTACAGTAAAGCTTAATGAGCAATGCATAAATAGCTACGCGTCCCCAAACCAAATTTTAATGCCGCAAAAAAGTTTTGCATTGGTTCTGACCTTCATCGCATTCGATCATTATTGTGTATCCCGACACGACCCCATTTGTTGTTGTGAGCCCGGCCATCCCAGGAAAGAGCGACACCGTTAAAATTTAACTTAAATATTATAAATACACCGCTTCATAAATGGAACTTTTATGTGCGGAAAAATATAGAAGTCATCAAGGTAAATAAACATGATATTCAATGTCATGGTCATTTATATTTTCAGATAGTTTTTGGTTCGTCGAACGTGAATAATGGGTGGATCGGAAAGTAAAGGCACGGATTTAAAGCATGAACTGCTTTTTAGTGAAGAGGAAAGGGCAAAAGTTAATTTTATGTTCTGCAGTATATCGCATGGAAAGAAATCTTTTAATAAAGAAAATCTCCAGGTAGGCCTAAAGCCTAAAGCCCTATGACTACTAAGTCTAATAAATAAAATAGTAGTATTTAGTATAGTTATAATTATAGTATAGTTATAGTATAGCCTGACAACTCACTAACTAAGACTCACTAAATTGACTAAATTTTAACACTTCGAGTCCTATGACTGTCTACAAACGACGTCGTTGGCGGACATGATGAGTTCACTCAAACTCATTATGTCACAACTCCTATCAAACCACAGTCAGACATCGCTATTTACTTAATTGGCCTTATACTTATACTATACACTTTATTAGGCTGTGGCTATTCCGAACCAGTGAGAGGTTGGGTTTATTAAAAAATATTTAAAATATTATTGTTGGGTTTGTAAGATAAAGTTTTGAATGGAATGAAAGATAATTGAATGGACTATGACTATATGTTTGTAAACCTAATTCTTCAGTTTAACTAAAATAAACTAGCACAAATGACATCCGAATAGCATTTAGTCTAATGACTAACCAGATCACTAATGGGACTCGGGTCCGAATAGCAGCGATGCTTGCCTGGTTCTATTTTGAGTTCATTGGCTAAAATTTACCCCCCAAAAAAACCCAATAACAATGTTACATGACAAAGATTTGTCTTGAATTTGAACAAGTAGACACTGATAGTAGTAAGTAGTGGTCCCTGGTCGTCTTGACGTAGAGTCTTGCCACTGGATATGGTGGGCCCGGGCGAGAGAGTGAGGTTGACGCCGCCCAACTCTTCCTCACTTTAAACAAAAGTCACCCGCGCAATTCATCAGTCACTGGACGACTCGATGGTCCTCGTCGATCCTCGACGAACAACATCAAATAGTAGAATAATACTAGTAATACTACTAATACTGTCAATGTCAAATAGTCATAATGATTTTCTATATTATTATTATTACTACAAGACTAGACCCAAATGAATCTAATGTTTTAATATTAAAATTATAATTTATAGTATAGACTACTATAATATTGCAGTCATAGTGGCCTACTATAAGACTTAAGAAGTTAAGTTTATATCCTAATAGGGTATAGGAGCTTAGGTTCGATGAATGGAATTGACAGAGTTAGAAAACTCTTCAACATACAAGAAAGCCATAACTTAACTTTGAAATGCTCTCTCTCCAAACATGATAAAAATGGCAAGGCACATGGTAAATGCTTATTCACTAAGTCGGACCCGCTCAATCCAGTTTTGAACAGCTTGGTCTATAAATTAAATAGACCTATACTATAATTTATAATAATAATGACATTAGTAGCTTACAGTAGGCCTGATAAATAGTTGACAATAAATGTCATTAAAATGAATAATAAACTTAAATTTAATTACAAATTCAGCCCCACTGACTGTCATGGGCACAAATTCAAATCATTATTGTGAGTGTCATTACAGTGACCAGTCAAAAATATGTATTAGCCCAAAAGTTTTGTCTAAAAGTTTTTAGAAATTAGAATGCATGAAAATGTTTTTGAACTGTTTCCCTTTGTTTTTTTAGAAATAATTTTAATTCTTTATTAAATAGGCAAACAATGGTTATTTTCAACTTGATTTATGTATAAATAAATACATTGTCATTGTCATGGCAGCATCCAGCTTTAAATGTAAACAATGTGTTGCAAAAATAGGAGATAAGACAGTTTCAGGTGTAAATTATGTGTTGCAAAAATTGAGAGATATTAATTTATTTTGGTTTCAGGATTTCCTAAATTTACTATGTCTCAAGATTTTGCTTACATAACATAATGTAGATGGAACCATAACCTCTTTATTAGTATATAGAGAATGTTCCACTGACAGATATTTGGTGGGCATTCATGATTTGTAAAAAGGGTAACAGAAGTCAGAAATAGGAGGATCTCAGAGTTGCGTGCATTAAAAAAGGATTGTCATTGATTAAGCCCAAGAAGTCCCAAATTATTCTTAATAACTTGGGGCCAGATTAAACTTTTGCAAATAATCACTTTGAAATTATTATTTGCAGTCTGTCTTTGTATGTTTAAATGCTTAACAATTCTGATTACACAGTCATAGTAGTACTTTAAAAATAAAATTTGAACCAAGAGAGATAAATGAAATTATGTGCATATTATCAGTGTACATTTTTACACTGGCATACAATGCATATTTACATGAACATTATTTAAGTCTTGCACCTTTAGCTATTGCGCTTAAGAATTCATCTCACTCATGACAAATCACTTTACACAGCAAAATGATTAAAAACAAATCATAAGTGATCACCTCGTATTCCCAATCATATTCTGTTAATGTTTACTTACAACAATTTTTTATCACCATCACTATTTAATCACAAATAAGAGTGCAGTCAATGTGGTTTTAACCTTTGTGTTTTTTATTAATTAAGTAAAAAAAAATAATTGTTTGAAACAAAATCCCTTGTTATTATCCATGTCCTACAAAGTGAATGAACATAAATATCTATTATCATCTTTACCTTTGTTTGAAGTACTGGTAGTTAAAATTTAATATCTTAAAATTCCAAATTGTAAAGACAATAATATGTCATAATAACTCCATTTAAAGTTCCTATCTACAGAAGGAAATAATTTGAATAAGTAACCTGGCTCAAATATTTTTATGCTTTTTTGTATGTGTTTCCTAGCACTTCATGAATCCTGTCTTAGATCAATATACTAGTGGCCGTTTGTTTGATTTGATTGATGGGCCTCTACCAAACCAACATCATCGGCATACCCACCACAACCATTCACAAGAAGTACAGCTTCAACATTTTGCTTCCCACCTTGGACGACTGCTTAAAGGCAACACTTCAGATCTAGCTCGCACGTGTGTTTTCTTGGCTTCTACTTCTCCAGATGTGGTGTCTGCTCAAGATTTAGTTAAGGTTGAGATGTTATGAAATTACTTTGTTTTTAATGAATGAATATTTTTTATTAAAAGAAGCACTACAGTGAAACCTGGAAAAAACGAATTTTAAGATATTGGCGCCCCTGTCATGTGAGCTGACTCACCCTGGCATAGAACGAACAATTTTGCTGAGCCTGCCATTAGCAGCACCCCTTCTAATTGCACCATGTTTTCTTTGGTACCAAAGGAGTGAGTTACTTCAGGTTTCACTGTGCTACAATAGACTTTTAATGAGGTTCTATTATCTCTCATAAATTTGATTAGTTTAAGCTTTAGGGTGTATGTTACACCTCCATAAAAAGGGATCACTCCACATTTACACACACAAAATATTTCATTCTGTTCAAATTTTAATTTCAGCTCTGTTGTTTTAAATATTCTGTTATTAGTTTTAATGACAATATATCTAAGATGATTTCATACAAATCTTATTCAAAACCTTAAATAAATGCAACATGGAGAGACAACGTATATTATGTCATTGCCTGCAATTTTGAATGGTCAAGACTGTGTAAAACTTTCAGAACTAGACTTTATCAACAAAGCATTTTATATAAAATAAGAAACTTTTTATTTATTTATTTTTTTGCCTCTTAAAAAAATCCAGTGAGGTGTAGTTTTTAAAATTATTTAAAGGATTTTTTTTTTTTTTTCATTCTTCGCCAGTTTGTAACCAACATTCTTCACAGCTATGAGAAACTGTTAACAGCACATTGTACAGCTTACCAAAGTTGGATATTTGCTCCTGCCGGAGACTCTCATGATCGATTGGCTATTTCTTTGTTGAGCAATCTTTTAAACACAGGTGGGAATAACTCATTTGATTTTTTTACAATTATTTTTAATGTTCCGAATTTTGAATATTACAACATGTACTAAAATATTTACTGTGCACTCATCCCATACAGAAACACATAAAATCTATCAAATTTATACCAAACTTTTTTTGAATTGTTATGGTTGAAGGGTGTTTACAATTTATTTAATAAGGATTTTTTAAAGAAAAAATGTGATTAAAATATGTTTAAATTGTTTTATTTTACTTGGATAAATTAATTATGTTGTACTTGGATAAATAAAAAAAATTATATAAGTTGGGTATAGATAGATTAGTTTTATTTTAGCTGAAAATTTAGTTTTATAAATAAATTGTTGTTTCACTTGCATAAATTAATTGTTATATCTTAGATGGATAAATTAATTATTTTGTCTTACTTAATAGTTAGTATACTTAGTTCGATAAATTAATTGTTGTGTTTTAGGTAATGCCAAGGTAAACAACTCTAGTTTGCCTGTGCTTGATGAAAAACTGTCGGTAAAAGTAGAAGATGTTGATGAATGGTTGTCAGAGTGCTCACTGTTTACACAGGTCCTCAAGCAAGTCTTTCATGGAGCATTCCAATTTTATGTATGTCTTAGCTTTTTACCAACAATTTTTTTTTTAAGTTGAACAATTGAAATTTTTTAACAGGCTAAATAATACTATAAAAAAAGTCATTTTACTTGATTTTGGAGATGCAGAATAAATATTGAAACTGAAAATTCTGACCTGCTAAAGAAATATCAATAGGCTGCTAAATAGAAAGGACTCACCAAATATTTTTTTTACTTGGTTTAGTAGGAAATGAGGCTTTCAGCTCTTCAATCAAATATAATAGTGAGTTAACTTTTGGCAATGAGAAACCTGTACAATTTTTGAGAGCTCAGATTCTGCCAGAATTCTCTTAAACTGAAAATTTCATCAGATTGCAACTATTTTTTTATTTTTTTTAAACATTGGCCTTTCAGATTTTGAAATGGTAATCTTGAGTAAAGTTATTACAAATGTGCCCAAAATACAATGCTTATAATTTCAAGGTAACCTACTTTATAACTGATAATAATTCCATTTGGTCACTACTCTTATTTCAGCAAATTAATTAACAATTTTTGAATGATCACTAAACTATAAGGGGAACACAATTTCTGTTCCCCTGTAGAAATCATTAAGAAAGACTTTAATGAAACTGCTTCTCCTTATTTTTCTCTTCAGCAACAAGAACCTCAACAGATAACGTTCCTACCTCGTGTGCCACAAGTTAGAGACACCAACTGGTCCAGGTTCAAGACCATCCTTGACTTCCCAACAGTTCTGTTTCTTAACTCTGCACTTTACCCTGACCTGCAGACACAGTGGAAACTTATCTTCAGCAATAACCTCCATGGATGTAGCTTCTCTCAACTTCTTCAGCACTTGCGAAATAAAGGCCCCTCATATCTCATCATCAGAGACAAAGATGGACATGTCTTCGGTGGTTTCGCTGCCATATCTTGGGAAATCAACCCAAAATTTACAGGTAACTTTTAAAGGGAGCATTTAGGTATGGATTTAATTTTTACTCTGAAACCGGCCAGAGCTTATGCCTATGCTTTTCTGCCATACCTCTGAAGGTGGCTTGTTGCTTATTGGAGCTACAGCTTTAAACATGCCCTGGGAAACCTAATGGAGTAGGAAAAAGTTAAACTAACAACAACAACCATGATCCTTGATAAAAGGTTGTGGGTGTCATCTTTCTCTCATTGTATATTTTTGGATACAAAATTAACCCTATAACTATCATAACGGCTTATGATCGACTGTTCTACCCCTTTCTGTAATGTCATTAAAATGATGATTAAAAATGTGATTAATTTAATGTATATTGGTTAAGGGGAAATCACTCTATATAATGAGTTTGTTTCCTAGTTTCGTTGCTATCTGTGTGTTAATATGCATTTATTTATCAGGGATTTCTTGTGTGATTAATTGGGTGTGAAATGTTCTCAATTTTGTTTACCGCCATGTCTGATGCTGGAGAAGGTCCCTCTCTAGATTGCAAAATGGACAGTGAATTTCTTTAATTGAATTATTTCAAATATATTAAAATGAAAGCAACAATTTCAGAGATATTCTACAGTTATATTTACAGTATTAGCTTTAGTGGTGATGGTGACATAAACAGTCAGATATCGAAAATTTTATCCCTATGCTTAGTCGTATTGTTACAGACAAATTAGTTTAGAAAAGAGTGGAAATTACACAGAAAAAGACAAAGATTGGATCTCAGAGATCCCTAAAGAGATTTAAAGACATTTATGTTTGTGTATGCTCTGGAGTATTAGTTAATAAAAAATTGATTTAATAACTTCATTGAAACAGAATTTTTTTAACACATTTCGTGCCTTTCCCCTTTTATGACAGATATTTGAAGGTAGTGAATGAAAAAAATTCACCAATATTACAATTTTTATTATAAGTAACTTGCCATTTTCTGAAAGAATATTGCGTCTAGTATCTCAAAAACATATATTTATGATAGTTAAGACAATTTATGGAGTTCTAGGTTAGGTTGAATTTGGAAGTTGAGTAGTAAAATTTTAATCACTCTATAAATTTCAAGTTCAATATCAACATAAAACAAATTCTTTTCATACCATAAGATATCTTGTCCAATGTACTTTTAGAAAATTTATACTAGAAAGGGTTTCTGATTTCATTTAGTCTGAGATTTTGTCATTTTTGACAAGTACATTAAAATGTTAAAATGGCTAGACGCTACAGAAAAATGCACTTGACATTTATAGAGTTAAAAAACTAATTAACCTTTTAAAATCGGCATCCAACTTTGAAAATCCCCACCCCGCTAGACCAATATATTTCGGTTTCCCATTCTGTACTCTAGATCGACAGTCATATAAAAATGTGTTGAAAATACTGTTCAGCACTTACTGGGTGATTAGTGAAAGGTCACTGTAATGACTGCGCCCATGGATAAATTGTCTATTGTAATGTATTCGATGTATAGAGGGGACAAATAGGTAAAAAATTCCTAATGTAAAGGAATAAAACCAGAGCAAATTGATGATAAAGTAAATAATTCAAAGGATTATTATCCTGTTGAGAAAAAGCTTTACAATAAAGCAAATAGACAATGGTTGTGACGATCAATTGACTTCCTATGGCTAGTGATGAAATTGGTGTCCTAATTTTTATGAAAATCAGGGGTGTGAAAGTGGACTTCTAAAATGCTATTCTACACTGATTCTTAGACAACATTCTCTGTGTTATATGTTTTAGAATAGTAGTTTAGGACCAAGAGTCCAGGGGCATGGGTATTTTAGGACCAGGAGCCAAGGGTTCAAAAAGTTGACTAATTTCTCTCCACTTACCATTTTGTAAAAAAAACAAACATTTTATGATAAGTCATTGGATTAAGACTTCCTGACAAAAATCAGGACACTACTTGAACCCAGAATAATCTTTGTCAAGTAATAATTTATGTCATGGAAAATAGTTATTTTGAACCCTGCCATTGTTTGACTCCTTAATGACCTGTACGTTTAATGCCCAATATTTCCAAAGAAGCAGCACCTTGTATTGGTATCATTATACATATATTAAGTTTGAAGGATACAATAAGCATAATAAATGAGCCTAACAGCCTTAATATATATAATAAAGCCAATACAAGGTCCTGCTTCTTTGGAAGTATTGTGCATTATTTTTATGGGTAGGGATTTTGGGGTTAAAATAAGGCTCACACAGTAAAAGTAATTCTTAAGTATCATTACTGGTAGCTAAGACTACAAAATGTAAGATTAGGAAAAATGGCCATGACTCCAGCATAGAGACCGACCGAAAGTGATTTTCTGATTTCGGCTGAAGCTTAAAGCTTCTTAAAGATCACTTAGATTGTTGTTAAAGATCATTTAGTTTGTTCTTAAAGATCGCTTAGTTTGTTGTTAAAGATCGTTCAGTTTTTTGTTAATGATCGCTTTATTTGTTCTTAAAGATCAGTTAGTTTGTTCATAAAGTTTGCCTGGTTTGTTGTTAAAGATCGTTAAGTTTGTTGTTAATGATCGGTTAGTTTGTTCTTAAAGATGGGTTAGTCTGTTTAATCTTTAAGATCGCTTTATTTGTTGTTAAAGATCGTTAGTTTGTTCATAAAGATCGCCTGGTTTGTTGTTAAAGATCGTGCAGTTTTTTTGTTAATGATCGCTTTATTTTTTCTTTAAAATCGGTTAGTTTGTTCTTAAAGATCACTTTGTTTGTTGTTAAAGATCGTTCAGTTTTTGTTAATGATCGCTTTATTTGTTCTTAAAGATCGGTTAGTCTGTTCATAGAGATCGCTTAGTTTGTTGTTAAAAATCGTTTATTTTGTTTTTTAAGATCACTAAGTTTTTTCTTAAAGATCACTAAGTTTTTTCTTAAAGATCACTTAGTTTGTGTTTTTAAACAATCGTTTAGTTTGTTCATAAAAATCGCTTAAGGTGTTCTTATAGATCATTAAGTTTGTTCTTAAAGATTATTTATTTTGTTTTTATAGATCTTTTAGTTTGTTATTAAGAATCGTTTAGTTGTTCTTAAAGATCGTTTAATTGTTGTTGAAGATCGCTTAGTTTTTTCATAAAGATCGTTTAGTTTGTTCTTAAAGTTAATTGATTTTTGTTCCTTAAGATCAATTAGTTTGTTCTTAAAGATCAATAGTTTTTTTCTTTAGGATCATTTATTTTGTTCTTAAAGACCTTTTGCTTGTTCCTAAAGAACATTTAGTTTTCTGTTAAAGATCGCTTAGTTTATTCTCATAAATAATTAATTTTTCTATTAAAGATCATTTCTTTTGTTCTTAAAAATCATTTAGTTCGTTCTTAAAAATCGTTTAGTTTGTTCTTTTAGATCGTTTAGTTTGTTATTAAAGATCACTTAGATTGTTCTTAAAGATTGCTTAGTTTGTTTTAAAGATCGTTTAGTTTGTTCTTAAATGTTGCTAAGTTTGTTGTTAAATATCGTTTGATTTGTTCTCAAAGATCGCTTAATTTGTTCTTAAAGATCGCTTTATTTGTTTTTAAAGATGGCTTTATTTATTTTTAAAGATCGTTTAGTTTGTTCTTAAAGACTGCTTAATTTGTTCTTAAGGATCGTTTAGTTTGTTATTAAATGTAGCTTAGTTTGTTGTTAAATATCGCCTTCGCTGAGTATTGGATGACCGAAAACCTCAGTCACTTTCGGCCGGATGGCCAAAAGTCTAAGTCAATTTCGGCCGAAACCGAAAAAAAAGAAATTTATCTTTTGTCTTTCGGCCGAAACCGAAATTGAGCCGAAAGTTAACTTTTCAGTTTCGGCGATACCGAAACTTCGCCGAAAGTGATAAAATGGCCACTTTCGGGGCCGAAACCGAAGCCCAAAATCGGTCGTCTCTACTCCAGCATATTTATTTCAGGGAACACATCCTGTTTCTTGTTTAAAGTCAAGCCCAACTTTAGCATTTACACGGCAACAGGATATAATGTAAACTTTATGTACTTGAATCACCAAGTACAAACACTCCCTAATGGTCTGGTAAGTATGTCTGAATTTAACCGCCTATATAAATTCACATAAGAAATTTGGAAAATGTTACCCTGCTCAGTAAAAATGAGTAATTTGATTTTTTTTTTTGCATTGCGTTACGCTCTAAGAGACCAGGTAAATGAATTTGTAACATTGTTTTACGTCTTTGTCTTTTCTATAAATTTTTCAATTTTAATTTGTACAAATTTATATATATTTATTAACATTGTGTCAGGAAAAATGGGAACCCATTAGATAATGTTTGAAGAGCGTGTCTTCAATGAAGCCTGTGTTGAAACTAATGGTGGACACTTCAAACATAAACTGTGACAGTTTCAAAAATTTAACATTATGTTACAATTAAAATGAGTTTTAGAATTTAAAATAATTGATAAATATTTACTATTTTCGTCATAAAAAGGGTTCCATTTTTTTCCGGAAACAGTGTATTGAATGATTACCTTGTTTGCTAATAAATTAAAATTACAATTGGTGGTATTATTTATTTATGTATTTACATACACACATATACACATATATATTTATATTTTTATTATTTAGATAGAACCAGCAGTCTTGTAAGCCAAGTAGTATGTTTAAAAATTCTGTTATGTCCATCCATTAGGGCATGGGTGGCCAGTTTGAATATTTTGGGTTCTGGATTGACCAGTCCTTTGACAAGGGACACAGCAAGGCAGGCTCCAGGGGGAATACAACTTATGGTAGTCCCCAACTGTCGGCACAGGTGGAATTTGAGGTGGACTGTATGGAAGCTTGGGCAGTTGGGAGGGTAGAACGCAAAGAGGGAGAGGAGGAAGACGATGACGATGACACTGCTGATGGAGCTAAGGTATGTGCATCAATTTATATAATCTCTCTAGTTGTGATTCTATTTACTTCTTAACCTACAGAATTCAGACATTTAGAAATGCTCTGTTATATTTTACTTTAATTCCATTGCTTTAATGTATTCCTCTTATTGAGCTAGTCATGGTTCAGGCCAAAGATATATTCTCAAGAGAATTGACAGCTTTTATATGGAACCAAACTTGATTTTTTTTTTTTTTATACACTTTATCTGTTTATAGTAGTTTGAGTATGCAGCACAATTTAAAATAGAAAAATCTCCCACTCCTTAGAACAATAAGAGATGCTTTGATAAAAAACCAGTTTGTAAATTTTTTGCTTGTGTAAAATTTGTGTGCATTATATTTATCTTATATAGGGAGGACAGAAACCGAAAAGTATACTTGACAAGCTTGCCTCCGAAGACAAGGCAATATTAGATATGGTTGACAGAGGGACTAAGCATGACGCTCTTCGAGAAGAACCTTTTGTACAGGAAACCAAAGCTCACAACACTATCATATCTCCTTTTTAGCAATGATGTTACTCGGAGGAAAAACTATTATGAGACAATTCTGACCGAACGATCATTTGTTTATTTCAAACTGACTGCAGCCAAAAATAAGAGAAGCTAGGTGCTATAACTACATTCATCCTAACCTCTGCCAGTTTTGCCAGCGTGGTTGTTGCATTGCTTCTGGGTAGCAGAGGTGTAAAAAAGTTTTAATGATGTCCAAATATGGCAATTATATAACGCTGCCTTTTTTAAAGTCATTGTACATCTACTAACATGACATCATGAATTCACACTAGGAATTCCCAAGTACATCATCTGGATGGTAAAAAAAAAAAAATCTGGACTGTTGTAAACTCAAAGTGTGCCAGGTGTTCTGAATCTTTAAAAAGTGATGCCAAAATCAATTATGTTAATGCTATGCTAGATATTTTCTGTCTAAATTGAAATGAGTATTACAATTTTATTATGGTGACAATAGTATAATAGAAACAGAAGATTTGTTGTGTTGATAATGCTAGAAAGTGCATACAATTTAAATTACTGTTTATATTCTTTCAAAATACATTTATTTTTTTTGTTGTTATTGTTAAAATATTTCAGGAAAAAAAGTGGGGTGTTTGGTTTATGAGTAGATCATTGAAGATTTTTAAGATTTTCTCCAGGTGCATTTATTTTGTTATAGAAAACAATAAAGAAATAAAATTAGGAACAGAAGTCAACATAAAGCTGTGTTCTCATTTTGCGACTGCCTTAGTACCAAGTACCTACATTGAAAAATGAAATAATTATTTTAGATCATCAGGTTCCTATTTTTAAAACTGTAAAGTATGGTTATCGTAAAACCTGCAGACAAGCAAAGCAAGTATCTGTTATACCTAATACAGATTTTTAAAATTGGTTTTAAGTCTTGCACAATTACCATTTTTAAATATTTGGATTCTTTAAAAAAAATTTTAATAATTTACTTGAGCAATGTATTGTGTCTACTAGCATGTTATATATTATGGGGCCAGCTTATTGGAGGGTTACAAACTTTTCAGGCTTTTCCTAGCCAAAACTAATGAGTATATATGGTACATGAAAATCTTCAAGATGTTTTATGAATGAATATGAAAAAGGAATGATTTGCATAGTGCCCTACATTCTAAGTAGATCAAATATTGGTAATAAACAACAAATGCTTTTATCTCATATTTATATAATTTAAAAAAACTGAATGCTGGTCAAATTTGTATGATGAACTGGACTCTTAAAGGTTTAGTTAATTTCATTAAAATGATTTGTTTTCCCATTTACAAAAGTTATCATTATAATCAATTGTTTGATGTTCTAAATCCAGTTTTTTATAAAACAAAATGCATTGTATCATCTTTACTTAGAATTTCTAAACAGATTTGTTCAAGACAAAAATGCTTTCCAAAATTTTTGGAAGTATATGTTAGTACTATGGGAATTAACTTGCAGAATGTGCTGGGCCAAGATGGTTTTTGTTGATATTACTATCCATGCATTCATACAGCAATCAAAGACATTCGTTTTCAAAGAGAACAAAGCTGGCAAATGCAAATGAATGTGAGTAGCAGTGGGTGTTGAGTGAAGTGGTTGTAGTAAGTTGTAGTGCATGAGTGATGGTGATTAGGCAATACATTCAATTTGATTTTGTTGTTGTACGGTGTTTGAAATGACCTGCTAACTTTATAGCTTGTATTTGTAAATAATTTTTGTTGACCATGTGATTTAAAAAAAAAAAATTACTTATTCCTTTACAATAAGTTTACATTTTTTAAATTTAAATAGTTACTCAGAAATAGAGACATATTATAACTAACAGTAAAAATTGACTAAAAATGGTGAAAACTCTGTACATATTTTGGCTAGTTTAAATCTTATTATAATATTTTGCAGTTGAAAAATGATTTTGATAAAACAATTTATTTAGTCACAATAATATAAAATTTAAAAAATAATATCCTAGAAATAGACCGACTTAACAAAATTTGTATGATAACTTACCAGCGATTATTTATTTATTAAAATGGTTCCATTTCCATCTTGTACATTCTGGATAGTTTAAAAGTTAATAAAATATTTTGTGTTTTAAAAGGAATTTTAAAATTAAATCGTTACTGATTTTGAAGCTTAACCCAGAAACTGAAACAAGTAAAAGTAACAAATGTAGAGATTCCATTGTCTGAAACTGACATTTGTTTCTGTTTTGCAACTCCTCTGACCTAAATACGGGTGATCAGAATGTTCTGATGCTAAACCATCACTGTGGCTGTATTGAATGAAGAATATTCCAAAACATGTTGTAATTTTAATATCCCTGATGATATCTTTTTTTTTAAAATAAAAAATTGAAGTTTTCCTTTTAACAAGTGACATAACTTTTGTATACCTGTATTTCATCTAATTTAGTTTATCCGGATATGATGAAAGCATCTGGTGCTGGGAGGCCGAGTGTTCTAAACTGACTCACTCCAAATAGTGGTTGTCTGGAGTTCAATCCCCACCCAAGCCAAAATCCCAAGCACCCCGGGTGGATGGTACTCGTTAGCCTTGGAAGGCTACTCATCTAAGAGAAGGCTAACTCTGAATTCAAACCAGGAGCCAAAATGATCAATAAATTGATCGTGGGCCCTCAAATATGAAACAAAAAATGATGAAAGCATCTGAATGTGATGAAAGCATCTGGTATCCAAAGCTTACAATTTTAACTTAAACCAAAGGTGGGATTTCATGGTTATCCAGGTGAAGAGATTAAAAGTATTCACTTTTCTTCCAGTGAAAATTATCTAATGATAATTTCACATAAAATGTAAACAATGATGATGGGCACTTAACTGGGCAGTGTTACCATCAAGTTTTGTCAAATTTATTTATGAAATATTACCATAGGGGTTCATGAACAGTGACACAACTGGTGCCAAACAATATTACCATAGGGGTTCATGAACAGTGACACAACTGGTGCCATACAATGTTCTTTGATTCCCACAAAATAAAAATAGTTTTTTAAAAAATGTTTTTATGAATCAGACTCTAAAATTTGAATTAAGTTGTTTTTTAAAGTAATTTTGTCATGGCTCTTTAGATATTTTATTATTAATAAATCAAGTTTTTTATATTCTATTGCAATGATATTATTTATAGATTATATTACACTAATGAAATATAAAATTATTTTTGAAGTACAGCTGGCATTATGCATACATTATAGAAGAGCGGTTTCAATCTTTTCTGTTGGCCTTAATAACTGTTAGCAAACTCCCTTAATGTATTTTAAGTTCTTAGGGACCACATTTTTGAAGTAAATAACATAGGGCCCTTTTGGCACACCCGAATTTTGTGTGCGAGTGTTTGCATGGCAAAGGCACACATGTTGAAACCGGTTACCAGAAATTTGATTGAAATAAATTTCGTCGGGGGTAAATTAATCGATGGAAATTTGATCGAACTGAAATTTGGTCAAATCTTTTTTTCAGTTCACACGTTCAAATTTTTCGTCAAATTTCTTTTTGAACGCACTATACTATATCGTAAAACAAAATAATGCGTTCAAAAAGAAATTTGAAGCAAAATGTTAATGTAAAAACTGAAAAAAAGTTTGGACCAAATTTTTCTTCGATCAAATTACCGTTGATGAAATTTCTTTCGATCAAATTTCTGGATGCGGTTGAAACCAGTGCATACAATGTTTGTTTTTTCCATACCAATACAAGCAATTATGTTATATTTATTGCTTTGAAGGTTCCACTTTTCAAGCAAGTCATTTGGGTTCATATGTAAAGTTGATTAAAGATTTCATTTATATTTGACTGATAATTTTATTCTAACACCATTTGCTAAAATTTTTAACCAATTTTTTTCTTTTTTATAGATTTTATACACAACACATTTGTCTTATAGTTTACCCCCTTTTTTTTGTGTGGTAAGCTACACATTCCATGATTTCTCAAGTTAAGTTTAATGAAGAGAGCTTTATCTTCTACTGCACCATTGACTTTTCAAACAGAACATCCTTTTTTCCCTCATCCATGGTCTAAGCTAAGTTACTAGTACGTTTACTGAAAAGAGACACATTTTCCCTCAATTTGTTTACTATAGTCTGCTAATCCCTTCTCTGTTCTAAGCGATTTCTTATCAGCTTTTCTCTGTCTTGAAAATAATTACATTGAAAAGAAGCAGAAAAAAAGTCATAATGTACTCTTACGATACTGTTTTTATTTGATTTATTAAAGTAAGAGTTTCATGTTCTAACTTAAAATTCAGATTAATTAATTTTGTTTTTCATTAAATAATGGTAGAGGTCTAATAATTATTTTGTATACAATTATTAACTTTAAAAATGTATAAGTTTAAGTTAAATTGTATATTTAGCTAGATCTACCGGTACTTTAAAAAATGTGTTCTGTTTTGATATTATGTGTAATGCTAAAGTTTCACTTGCTTATTAAAAATACTATTCCTACAATAAGACAACCATAAATAAATACTGCCCTGCAAATAATACACATAATGTAGAAACACGTTGTCGTGAAAATAAGACCTAAATTTTGTTTGTTACTGGGGCTTCATTCTTTATTGCAGATTTTCCTTAGATTATCGCTAACCAACACCGTTTTCTGTTACTGTTTTATCCACTGCGTGGCATATTGAGCACATTTATGAGCACACTGATTTTTCCAATTGTTACAAAACTGGTAAGATGAGCTCGTTATTAATATCTCACTCAATGAATATGAACAAATTCTGGGGTGTAATGAGTAGAGAATGACCAGTGAAATGTGCAGAAAAGATTGAACAGTTAAAAGAAAATCTGAATCTGAAAATGAGGTTAGTTGAATGGAGACTATTAGAGTTGGTTTATTGGCAATAAAAAAACTAGAAACTAGAATTATGACTATATTTATAAAAGAAAAGAAGATAGAGTAGGCATTTAAAGTTGTTTTTTTTTTTAGAAATTTGTCTAAAGACTTTGTTCAAGATAATAAATCTTTTTGCTGATAAACCATTTTAAGTTGGTTACCGGAAATTTGTTTGAAAGAAATTTCGTCAACAGAAAATTGATAGACGGAAATTTGATAGAACGGAAATTTGATCGAAATTATTTTTTCCATTCACGCGATCTAATTTTGCGTCAAATTTCTTTTTGAACGCACTTTACTAATATAGTAAAGCAAAATAATGCAGTAAGACGAAATTTATTTCAAACAAATTTCCCAATACGTTTTGAGTTGGTTCCTCATTATGTGCAATCTTGTTTAGAAAGATATATTTTCTTTGAGAGATAAAAAGGGCCAAGCTTTATTCTTTACATGTAATTTTTTTATAAATAAATTATTATTATTTTATTTAAATATAATATTTCACATACCCTCAAATGTGTAAAATTGCAACATATAAAAAATATGGAACTTCAAATGTACCATGACTTTTAATTGGAATCATATTTCATGTGTTAGATAAAACAATTCATTTGTATTTGGTTTTTACGACATATCTATTTATATGATTCCTAGCTAATATGATGAAATGTATAATCTATATGACAAAATGCATTGATTTCTTTTCAACATGGCATGACTTTTCACAAAAAAACCTTAGTTGCAGCTTTAGATTATTTTATCTGGCGTTTAACTGGTTCCTGTGTTAGATGGACAGTTAAACCATCGTTTACGTCGTTCATTTTTTAAAATCAGGCAGACTGGAAGCTGCTGGATCCAACTGTGGCACACACAAGGTACAATGTATCTATAAATCATTATGCAAGCATGCACTAGAGGTATGACCATCATTTTTATAATTCATAGCACCCCCTCCACCAACATAGATTTGAGCTACATCAAGGTGTGGAGACATGACCGCATAGTATTTTTTATATTTCCATCACTCTATGTATTACATTCTTTTGTTTGACGTGGGGTAAATATATCATACTGTACAAAAAACTTTTTCCAAAAATTTTTTTTAATGGCTTATCTGGCTGCGCTATCTAAACTGAGCCAATCCCAAGCTAGTGGACTGGAGTTCAATCCACAGAAAACGTTCAGACAAGCAGACACATCACTAGCACCCCTGGTGGATGGGACCCGTCTATTGGCGTTATGACACTGACACAATGAAAATTCTGACGACTCACGTAGAGCGCATAGAGAGCACAGTGAAACACACAAGACACAGAGATGGTTATCTACTGCATCCTGGTCTATTTCCAGTCATCTTGACTAAGTCTTGCCATCCTGGTCTATTTCCAGTCATCTTGACTAAGTCTTGCCATTGGATCAAATAGGAAAGTACAAATGGGTGAGGCTGACAAATTGAGCAACTCTGCCTCACTTTAAACAAAATACAACTCAAGTCAAGTCACTTCTCAAGTCAAAAAATGCCATGGTCATTATCACATGCACAGAATGAAAAAAACTTTTGGCTAATCTTTGACAGCTGTCCATACACGACTCTTAGGATTAAACGCTATAAGGGGGCCATATAAATCAGGCTTTCATTAATATTGTGTTTTTGGGGGGGTAAATTATATAACAATAATAAATAATTATATGTACAATCTGATCTACTTTCTGAGTACGGTACTGCCGAAAGTGAATCTATTTCATTTTAGTTTATATATTTACTCATTAACTGTCTATTATCAGATTAGTTCTGACAAGTGCAAATTGCATCAATACCTGATTTAGGTGTGTTTGTTTTTCTTTAAATAATAGTGTGTAAATTTTAAATGTGGTTGTGAATTGAATATATAATATGTATTTATATACTAATTTGGGCTGTTAGTTTGACCTAATCTGCAAAATTTTATTCAGACTTTTATCACAATATTTACTTGCATACGGTACTAAATAGTATTTGAATGATATAAGAATAAGCTATTTACTGCTGTACTTGTATCTTCCTGACAGCATTGTTTCAGTTTTTATTTTGGATCTAAAATATTTTTATATCTCTTAATTCCATTCATGAACTCCACTGGCACCAAGTCAAACAAATTTTACCTTTAAAAAAAATTTAAATGGCTCCAACAAAGCAAATCTCATTGGGATTTTTAATATCTAATTATAAATATAATTTTGATTTGTAAATTATTTTTTTCATTAGCACCACTTGATTATAAAGATCTATTTTTTTTGTCTTTCTTTTCCACTAAACCCCAATGTGGATCATCAAAGACAAATATACAGTCACAATGTGCACAATGTGATTTTGCTAACTTTGCTGTTGAAAATATTTTTTTTTTTCAAAATAAATACAGTATCCTGTACACAATAATTGTTTAATGGAGTCCTGATATTATGAATACATCGACACACTGTGTGTAAGAATTTCATTATAGTCATGTATTTTAGATGATAGGAACAACAGAAAATGTTATATTATTAATGTTTGTCAACAGTCTCATTATTGGCTTTATGTTAACATAAAATTAAAAATGGTCTCTAATTCATTGAAGAGTTTTAAATTACTTCTGAAAGGTTTAGAATATGATAGTATCATTTAAACATGAAAATTAAAATAAAAAACATTACAAATGGTGATGTGACTAAAATCATCACACTCAAGACTCGAGAAGATAAAATAAAATGTACATGTATATTTAATCATTTCTAACAAATGAACACATGCTAATTTGATTTCAAGATTCCACATCCTTAAAAATTTAGGAGCAAGTGATAATATAAAATCATTTAGATAGAGCTTCTTTGTTAAATTCAAGAGGTAGCATGTGACCGGAGACAAATTTAACATTGCAGTACAATGATAACTGCTTGTTTTCGTTAACTACTATACGGTTTTGTCTAGGGTAGAGGTTCTGAAGTTCCTGGAAAGACTGTGATACTTCAGTAGCTCCACTTCCTATTTCCCCAGTCAAGTCAGGGTTCTCAGGGTACATATCATCACCTTGGTGAAAAAAAACAAAAAAACAGGATTTAAATGTCCATGACAAAGCAGCAGTTTACTTAAGTAATGCATTTTAAGCTTCACTTAATGAATGCGCTTCTTGGCATGGGTATGGTAGCTGTAGGGTTGTGTATTATGCCTCTGGTGTGTATAGTGGCTGTAGGGTTGTGTATTTTGCCTCTGGTGTGTATTTTGCCTCTGGTGTGTATAGTGGCTGTAGGGTTGTGTATTATGCCGCTCTCTGTGGTGTGTAATAGCTGGAATGTTGTGTATAATGATAAAGTTTGTATAACATGCTTTTAGCTTTTAAAAATTTTTTTGGAGTAAAAAAAAAAATAATAAAATATTGCAGCAATTTAATTGGCAATGAAGAGATCTAGTAACACATACAGAGGTGTTTAAAGTAACACACACAAAGAGGTTTTTAATGTAACTCACATAAAGAGGTTTTTAATGTATTGCACACAAACAGGTGTAAAGAAGGAATCACACAGAGAGTAGTTTAATTCAACCCCATCTTAGACAAATGTTGACTACCTGGTAAAACAATCATAGTACAGTCCTGACACTGAACGAGGACTGGCATCCAACGTTTTGCACGATACGCTGAACGTTTCCATGACAATGATAGGAGATCATCTGTGGTGTTGAACTGTGTTAATCGTGACAGCTCATATAACTGAGGGGGTGCTAAAGGAACAATTCCTTGGGAACATGCTTTCAGAATTCCAGAGGGACTGAGCCACTGTAATTAGGAAAAAGCTGTCAAGATTTCAATTAAACATTCATTACCTATCACTCTAATAAACTTTTTTTTAGAGATCATTACTTTTAATTTGAAACAAATTAACATAAAGAAGTAAATATTTATAAATTATATAGTTTTACTATTTAAAAAATGCTAACACTGTTCAGGAGTGAGTCTATTTTAATCAATAAAGAAACAATTGCTTTAGGATTATCTGCTACAAATTCATCTACATTGTTAAAAGACGATGAACTTATATTGATAAATACCACCAGTGAATATTTTGTATAGTATTATATTAGTATAATGAACCAGAAAACATGTTATGAAAATTTGAAATTCTTCAATATTTTAACTAACTGAGGTTAGAGCAATTTTTACACCCACAAAAATAACCCCCCCAAATTTTTTTTTTACTTACAATTCCTTCTTCAGTTTCCTCTGAATCATAGATTAGTGGGGCCTCATCAACACAGCAAATAAAAAATGCTGTGTCAAATCTTGAGCCTCTTAACAACGGAGTCAACCAGTTTGACCATTCGTATAATGACCATATATCAGGAACCATCTTCAACTCTTTGCACATAACCAGAAACTGAGATGGATCTGAAATTATCTGCTTTCTCCATTCAATGTTGACTCTTGACGACATATTGCAATAAGTGCTACATATAGGATGACTTTTCAACGAGTTGAGTTTAAGTGTTTCTACATCATCTATAGGCCTTGCTAGTAGAATACCGGACTCCTCAAATGTTTCCCTTATGGCTGCTATTCGCAAGGCTATCTCACTGGGTATTTCTGAAAACTCTGCTGCTCTTTTCCTACTGAAAATCGGAGCACCAGCAAATCCCCTGGCAAGTAACTGCAGTAAATCACCATTGCATCCAGTCAAATCCAGCCACTCTTTAGAGAAGTCATTGTTATCCAGCATTCCTCCGGGGAACACATGAACCTTGGGCAAATTAGAACTCGCTGCACTTCTTTTGAGAAGAAGAACACGAAAAATTTCATCATGTGTATTTTCAACAAGTTCTGGTTGTTTTCTCATTATTCTGTTTAGAAGAGTCTGCCGTGGTTGTGGCATAGAAAGCTTCTTTGATGCTATGATCAAGCTCGCTGACTCTCTCCAATGCTTCAGGACTCCAGCCATTTTTATAATAAAGCCCAAATAGTTGTAATTGTAATAAGGACGAGTTGTGAACAGATGGATTGGGAATTCCTTCTTAGCCTATGAGTGAATTTCAGAAGAATATGTGGATGAAACTGGCTGATGGATATGTTGTATGAGAATAGAATCTACTGTGGTACAATTAAATTAAAAATTTAAACTTGGGTCAGGAGCTCGCAACTCCACTTTGGCATGGTGTTCTTGGCCTTCAACGTTGCAACTCTTTGGGTAACTGGAGAATGCAAAATAAAAATTAAGAATTACCGGCATTACAATTTCGTTAAAAGAAATTTTTGTAAATTAAAATTATTGTTAATAACTGAAATGTATCATTCTAAATATAGTTTTTCATTACATTTCATTCTGTCCTAACAGAACTTTTTTTATTATTAAAATTATTGTTAATAACTGAAATGTATCATTCTAAATATAGTTTTTCATTAAATTTCATTCTGTCCATGATGGTTAACATCTTACTGATTTTAAAAAATCTTGACACTTTCAACCTCTGCATTTTATACATTTTCTACTACTACTACTACTAGTGCTACAACTACTCAACTTTTTTTTAATGAACATTGATAACAGTATTAACATTTTTTAGTTTTTAAGTAACCATATCCAACGATGCAAATTCAATACTGTAATTTTCTTGTTGCTATGAATAGATTTTGTATTTTTGCAGGTGAGAAATACGCCCCCCTACCCCCTAAAATTTAATAAAATAAATAAAAAGTTCAAAATTTGCAATGAGAACAAAACAATTTTTAAAATATGTATATTGATTTAAAAAATGTTACATGTTTTCATTTCAATTGGCCTTATTAGTAATATTAGTCAGACATTTAAAGGTCACGTCTTACTTTTTATCGCACAATTGATCGCCCCCAAACCTGACATTTCAATCTACCAGTAAAAAGTTTCTCAACCCAATTGTACAGATAGTATTAAGCAGTTCAGTGGTTCTCCATCAGGGTGCCAACAGTCGTTGATACATTCCTCCATCCATGTCACTTGAATTGATCCAGTCCATCTTCCTGTGCACATCACTGCAGCACAGATGTGGTTGTATGGATTGTCATGCCCCCTCTATGAGCGTGCCTCCCAGAAATCCTTTTAAATTCACTGAAAGAACTACAGATATCTATGATGGAAGCTGTTGTATTTCTATTCATGCCTAGTGTAGACCAGCAGATGGAACTCTCTGGAACTTAAGCTTTACACATTGCTGGACACGGCTGGTGCTGTCCTTTCATCCATTCTCAATTTTCAGTAGAGATAGTGAGCCCAGGTTATACTTATGTGAAGCTCAACAATTTTCACATTAATACTATCAACCCTTTGGACACTACAGGGAGGTAGACGGTAGACAATGTTGAGCGGCTTGCTATAAAACCTGGTGTGGATGTACCCTCACTCAGTCACACTCAGTGCATTCCTAGAAATTTCGTAATGGAGAGAATATGGAGAAAATATGGCAAAGATGAAAGAGTGTGGGTCCCTGAATGCGCCCTTGCTTCCTTCCATGTCCGTAGCTTACTGTAAAAGCTCACTAAGCTTTTATAGATCTCAGGAAACAACATGATGTCAGTGTCAGCAAGTCTGAGCAGTCAATGAGCAGTCAAGGGGACAAAATTGTCAAATCAAAAAATATAAAATTATGGATACATTAGTCATTAGTGTGATACATTCTTCTTATTCTTCTAAAGTCTAAAGCTCCGATGACATGGGCGATGTTAAACGTATATATAAATTTAATGAATGGGAGGTCCCTACAACTAAATTGGGCATATTATATTACTACGTAAGTAGCGATAAAAACTTTATTTTATTTGTCAAGTTTAAGATATAATATTATATAAATAAATGTGAACTTTCTTCGAATTCTTTTAAAGAAAAGACATTTGGTTAATAATTCATAATTAGAATTAATATCAAATAATCAAATGGGGTGTTAATTGAAAATTATTAATAAAAGTTATAGTTTTTGTATTTGTAAATAATTGATGTTCACTTCTGCTGTTTAACTAACTGCCCAGTTCCCCAAAATAAAAATAAATAGTTAATATAATAAAGCTAAACTTGGGCACAGAAATATGAGATAAGTGTCCTTACTTGGAATTAGCGGCCCAATATTTTTAATGATTCTCTTTGCTAGCAAGGCCTGCAACTCTAAATTAAATGCTTTTATTTACATTTAACGTGCTGTCTACGTCATATGTATTTGCAAAATGGTGGGAATTATCTTTTGTTTGAGAAAAAAAAAAAGATGTAAATAATATATTATAAGAAGGATTCTTTGACATTTTTTTTTTCTTGAACTGTCAAGAAAATTATGATATAGTATGAATGCTAAAATGTCAATACCCATATGTTGAAAAGATCTTTTTTTTTTTTCTTTTAAAAAAGTAATGTTTTTAGTTAACACAGACACTTCACTTCAGACAGTGTCACACTCACTGTCAGACTTTGACTAATCATATCTGAACTTATCAATATCATTGAGTATCAGATCAATACGCTACACGGCTATACTATATAACTATTATACTATATAATCAACAGCTACTTGCAGGATTGCAGGCCTTCCCTTTTTATTTCTACTTTAACCCACTCATTATTGTCGAAATAGTAATAGTAATATCTAATGAAAACAATTCAATGAAAATCTCTATTCAAAACCTTGGTTGGTAATTTACCACTTGATTGAGCCTCCTTATTAAAAATTCATGTTGTTCTGGTTTGAAGTGCTACTTAAACAGTTATTCTTTTATGGAAAAGATAAAATTATTTTATTGATCCACAAAAATGATTTTTTTTTATATGACATTTCATTGTGATTGTCATTGTAATTATTCATTTTAGCACATCTATAGAGGGGCATCCATAAATGACGTCACGCAAACTTTGACAATTTTTTATCCCCCCCCCCCCTCCTGCCATCGTCGCAAATTTTCACAAAAGTTAGACCTCCCTCAAATATAACGTCACAAATCTCTGCTCATTTCATTGTGATTGGCAATGTAATTATTCATTTTAGCACATCTATAGGGGGGCATCCATAAATGACGTCCCGCAAACTTTGACAATTTTTTTTCCCCCCCCCCCCTCCTGCCATCGTCGCAAATTTTCACAAAAGTTAGACCTCCCTCAAATATAACGTCACAAATCTCTGCACCTTCCCTATAAAAATTCCCTGCGTCCCCACTACTGACTACTGTCCTTTACAGACCCTTAAGAAATTCACCTCCCGTGGATATCAAATTACTGCACCTGTGTCAGAAACATTTCACTAGAACAGTGGTTCTTTTAACCAGGGTTAAAAGTACCTCCCCAGCCGTGAGGTTTGGAAGACCAGAAAATTGTATTCAGTGGCGTAGCTAGGGTGGTGGGGACCGCACCTGATGACACCATCTCAGGGGATGACATCAAATTGAAAAATTGCATATTTACAGTGCACACACTGCTCGGTCTGAATGAATGTTATAAAAGGATAACAGATGACATGTGCATTTTCCACCCATGTAACCAATCAAAATGCGTGTTTTATTAAAATTTCAAGGTTAATGCGTCAGCAATTAGGTTACCTTACTATTAGGTCAGAAACACTCCATTTTGACCATGTTTCAACGCCAAATGAAGTGTTCGGTAACTTTTGTAAGTGACCGGAAGCTATATTTATCTAAATTCTTAGAAATAAAGCTATCTTTTGAAAACAATGGGCAAATCCAAATACATGTCACAGTTCTTAAATACATTTACTTCCTGACCTTCAATTAATTTGTTGTTGTTCGTGTATTATTATACTATGGACTAACTTTAACAAGAAGATTACATTGTGGAAGTCGGGAGTTGGGGGCACCGGACCGGGTGACACCAACCTTAGCCACGCCACTGAATGTATTTGCTACCAATGACAATGCTAGTTGCTGCTGCTTTTTTAAAAAAAAGTGTTTTTTTTGCATTTTAACAGCAGTAAATATATTTCTGGTGAATTTTATTGGCGTATTGCTTGTATTGGTAATTTTTTCCAGTGTTAATAAAAAGTTAATTAAAGAAATAAAATTATGGTAACTAAATTATGTTATTTAAAAAAATTTTGATTACAATATAATTTATACGGTTTGGGGGGTGGGGTGTTTAAAACGGAGCGGGCATGCAACGCTGCAAAAAAAGGTTAAGAATTCCTGCCCTAGAGCCTTTACTAAGATACTCCCATGAACCTTTTTTTTTTTCGTTCCATCCGGATTTCAAGCGGTTGCTCTAATTCTATGATTCTGGTGTCCAGATTTAGCCATAAATTGTCACGACTGTCATTGTAACTACCTCCCAATTGTCCTGCTCCTTGGCGTCCTGTAACTTGATCAGTGAACATTCTTCAGACCTTGCATACCTGTACTGATTCTCTCAGTGATAGTAGTTTAAAAATAAAATAATTATAATTTTTGTATAAAAGAATAATGTTAAAAATGTCTGTAATTTAGTGTTTCTTTTCGATTCTTTACTACAATAATCCGCTTTTCATGTGATGTCACATTGCTTGGGCCCCCCCTCCCCCTCGTCACACATTGTCACAAAAATCTGACACCCCCCCCCATACCCCCCCGTGCATGACATCATTTATAGATGGCCCTTCAGAGTTTAATTTTAAAAATGGAAAAATTTAAACTTTATCAGATTATTTTTAATTTATGAAAAGAAAACAGAGTTTGAGTTTATATCATGGCCATAAAAACGATTGTGGAACATACATGACCTCATCCAAATATGAAGGGAAAAGATCATGGCTAGTGCTAAAGTCTTTTCAGTTTGCGCTTTGCGTCCATTAATATTTTTTCAACATTCTGTGTGTGGACACCAGCGTTATTTGGATAGACAAAATTTTGTTGGTGGGCCACAACCGAACTATTCCGTGTCTGATCTAGTTTATGTTTGCATCAGCCGCCCATTCATCTGATATAATACATGAACCTGTAAGAATAAATCCCTCTATGCAACCATTTATCATGATTGCACGTCGGTCTAGCACTTCAACAAGAAAGCAACACCCACTCTCTCTATGCCACGGAAAACCCAGTCGCCCTCTCTCCATTGTACTATTAACGGATATCAATAAAAGAAAACTGTTTTAAATAGCACTTAAAACCGGAGCAACAAAAAATTTTGAAAACTGGCGCTGAGGTGGTAAATTACCAAAACCTTTACTGAGCTTCAAAAAAACATGTCAACAAATCCTTTTTCAAATCCGAGTGTTCGGGAAAAAATACAGAGTTTTCCATTTTTGGGAAAGTGGGCACATACGAGTCATTTACAATGAAAGCAGTCAAACCATTTAGGGACTTAAACACCAACTTTCTTCATTGTCTTCTTGCTGCATATTGCTTTTCTAATTTGCACTAGGTTGGCAACAATATGATCTTCATTTGTCTTAGCGTACTGCATCTGGTACTCTATTTCACTTTCTTTGGAATTCCCATTGGTCTGCCTTGTGAAAAAGTAATCTGAACATATGTAGTGACATTCTTCCTAGTGAATTGGAGGAGATCCAGTGGCCTTGTTTGATAAGCAGGTGTCAGTCGATACAGCTGCCATGTATTGTTAAATGATGTATTGAATGGAAATGCCAGCAGCTCCCAATATCCCTCATTTGTGTAGTATTTTCTATTCCATTCTGTGGACGCCATCCAAAATCTTGCTGCGATTTATCACATTTAAGGGCTGTGGCACATTATGTTGATGGAGTTTCTGTGAAAAGCTTTGAAAGGTCTAAAAAATCAAATTTTCACTGTACATGTCTTGCAATTTCCAGTTTTGATGCCAGAAAACCTTTTTTTTTCCACTTCTAGCAGCCTTTTGTTGCTTTCCAGAAAGATGGTGGATGCTTTTCTGTTCATCTTCATCATTACTATCTCCTTCAGTTTCATCACAATCCTGTGGGCATGACTAAATTTCCTTTCATCTTCTTCCAAATACATACATTACATCATTTATGGTAAGATTTCTTCTCATCCTATATAAAACCTTTTAATATGAATAGCAGTGGGTTGTTAATGCCCATTATCCTAATATTTGGATGCACAAATGTAGCTAAATTTGTTTAGGTACAAATTTCACCCCAGTTTGATACTTATAATATTTTTGCATAATTAGACTTATGGTCAATAAAATGATCATGTGAAAGTTACAGTATGTCAAGTCATTTTGGAAAATACCACTGGCTTTGTTCACTTGCTATCATGAAAAAAAAAAGAATTCATCAGAAAAACCACACATGCTGCTACACAGAGTAAGACATTTTGAAAAAGTGGTGCCATAAACCAAAAAGCTTATCCTCTAGAGTATCCCATGCCACCTATGAATCGTATTTATACATAACAGGGACCACGAAATTCGACATTTTTAAAACGTCCATTTTTTGTGACAGTCGACAATTATTAATTGCCCAGGTGGTCTGCAAAAAACTTTGTTTTAAATAATATTAAAAATATTAGGCCTTGGCTAATATGGTTATATTTAAAAATATAAATTTATTCAATTTCATTTCAGCTAACTGTTTCATTTCTGTTGTAGCTGATCTGGTAATTTTTAATATGTGCCTTTGTTAAAAATCTCGGATTCAAGGCTAAAAAAACAGGCTTGACTGGTAATGAATGTTATTATATTAGCACATTTTGACAGACATTTCATTAAGTTGAATTAGCTGTATTCAAGTTGTGTAAGTTTCAATGTAAAAAAAAAAGTACAATGAAAGAAAGGAGTTTCTAAGCCATCATTGGCACCATGGAGAGGAACCGGCAGTTGTACTCTGCTTGTGAGCAAGGAGATACAGATTGTGTGCAAGCTCTTCTTGAGCAAGGTTGCGAGGTGGATTGTCCACTAGATGATGAGGAAAACACAGCCATTCAGGTAAAGCAGAGCCATATCAACACTAATCTATCAAATAAGCGCAACTGCCCTAAAGGCTGTATTATGATAATTCTATGGCTCAATGGTTGCCTCATATCTTTCTACCTCATTATGAACTCATAGTCTAAATAATATATAGTACAATATGATTTCAAAGCCAACTTGCAGGCTGTGAATTTGAGATCCTTCCTCTAAATCAAGGTCCTTTTTATATTTCCTTGAGTCTATTTTTATTTTATAAAAGTTTAACTTTTCAAGGTACAAAAGTGGATTCTATTCATTGTTTTAATACTAAATGTTTTCAGAGCTCTTTATTTCTTATTTTACAGAATAAGTAGTTTATTGTTAATTCATCAATTTAAAGTTATAATATTATGAGCCCTTTATATCAACAATCAATTTTCACACCTGAGGATATTTTAAAATCTTGTGTAACATTTTCATTACTTAAGGTGGCTGCTGCAAATGGCAATGAACAAGTTGTGCGTTTGCTTATCATGCGGGGCGCTGGATTAGACAAATCTAATATTTTTGGGTGGACACCACTTTTACAAGCTTCAAGGTAAAGAAATTTATTCTAGATTTTCCATACATTTTTACTGGATTTTCCACAGTTTTACCTTTTTATACTACTTTATTTTTTAAAATTAAAGTTAAATGCATACAGTACAATACCTATGATCCCTTTAATTTTCATCAGGTAATGCACATTGCCATAACACTTTTGACATATATTTTGTAGATATGGCCACACAAATATTGTTGCACTGCTGCACCAACATCAGGCAGACATTCATACCAAGACACGGTACGGGACATCAGCCATGATGCTTGCAGCAAAGGGAGGCCACCTCCAGACTTTGAAATTTTTGATAGAGTCAGGTGTGGATATGAACGGTGTCGGTGATGGCTGTGAATTCACACCTCTGCTAGTGGCGGCGCAACACGGCCATGATGCAGTGCTGCGCGTCCTGCTTGATCGGGGCTGCGATGTGAACTTCTACACGCCATCAACCGGATTGACACCCCTGATGACAGCGGCGTTAAATGGTCACATGACTACGGCACAGATCATAATTGAGAGAGGTGGAGATCCAAACATGACGAACGTCTGTGATAAAACAGCCTTAGAGATAGCAACAATGAGAGACAAAAGAGAAGTCCGGGGGTACCTGGACAGAAAGACAACAAATAAGCCAAAAACTTGTCAGTACTTTTACTCAGTTTCTCTGATCTTTCTAAATGTGCAAAATATATTTTTTAAATTGATAAAAAGGGGTGGGAGTTTTGAAAAAAAAAATTACTTGAGGTGCACGTTACACTGAGAATCTGGAACTTTGAAATTTTCCCATCACATACCAACACATATTATGGGGAAACAGAGGTTAGTTGCACTATTTTTTAATGTGTGAAGATTAATCCATTTGTTTCACCTTGTGCCGCCATAAAACTAATCACTCTGCATTATCTCCAGCACCTGATGCTATAAAACCTGACATCATTGAGGCAGCAAAACATGGTGAGCCATTCTATATATATTGCAGTAATTATATTCTCCAGTACATCCATAATATAACTGACAATTTTTTTTTAAACTTCATCAAAGGCTTTTTATCGCTCATTATTTATCAAGAGAAGCACATCTGTATTTTTTTTTTTTTTTATTAAGTTACAATTAAAAAAATGTATCATTCGTGTTTTGTAAAGGCAATCTCAACATGTTTTGAGTGCGTCATAAGTATTAAAGCACACACTTACACAACGGCTAAAAGCTGGAATGAAATTCCTTATGCTATTGAAGTGAATCTACCCCAATGGTCTGCAAATTCATTAGTCAATAGAGCCAAAAATCAGCAGCAGAACAATTAAAAAAATTTTGAGAGCCAAATTTCTTTTCAAGAACCTGTAAAGAACCATGTTTTTTGGAGTCAAAACCAATTTGTGGCCGGCTGGCTGAGCAGCACTCAGGTCGATAAAGAGCGATGTGCTGACCACCAATGGGTATTTTTAACTTCAAGGTTGGCATAAAAGTACAGGTCTTTTTGTGATATACACTGTTATAAGCAAAAAAATTGGGCAATGTTACATTGGTGAGACAAACCTTGGTGAGAGGTCCAGAGACCATTTGAACTGCAACACTGGGTACACATGAGTACACTGGTAGGAATGTATTAACACTGAGTACACTTTAGTACACTGGTAAGAATGTATTAGGGAGAAAATTGATTAGAAAATTTGGAAAGTTGTGACTCCCCATTGCATTTACCACATCTGAAATATGCCACTACAGGTACTACTTAGTTTTTTGTAGTCAATTTTATGCACATCATTTCCTGGTCCACCCATCATATTTTTTTGTCTTTACCAACTCTTCTTCTTCTTCTATATATTAAGGGCCCAGGATTGTGGCTCATTTTTTAAAACTCTTTTTATATTAGTTGTATCATTTTTTTTATCGATTAAAAAATAGCATTCATAGGTTTAGCTACTTTGTTTCTATGTTAAGTGAAGAAGGCTTTTTGAAAAATTTTCTTTACCTTTACTTCTGTCTTAAATAGAGCTTCACTTTACTAGTTTACTTCTGTCTTAAATAGAGCATCACTTTACTAGTTTACTTCTGTCTTAAATAGAGCTTCACTTTACTAGTTTACTTCTGTCTTAAATAGAGCTTCACTTTACTAGTTTACTTCTGTCTTAAATAGAGCATCACTTTACTAGTTTACTTCTGTCTTAAATAGAGCTTCACTTTACTAGTTTACTTCTTCTGTATTAAATAAAGCTTCACTTTTCTAGTTTAATTCTTCTGTATTAAATAAAGCTTCACTTTACTAGTTTAATTCACGTTACGTATTGTGTGTTTAATAATGCTTCACTTAATTTATTGTGTCTAAAATATAGCTTCACTTTACTTATTGTGTCTTTCAATCAAACAGCTTTATTTTTTCTGTCCTACTTTAGTTTTATTAGTTTGTATAATTGTGTGTTGAATGTTTGATGAGCTTTCATAGTTTCATAATATAGTTTTATAGTTCTTTTATAATAAGATTTGGTTTTTAGTGCAAACTGCAAAAGAATGATGCCATAGAGTGTATGTTTTTGAGTTTTAATTATTAATTCCTTTATCCTGAAATAATTCTAGTTCAAAATAAGAATAACATCAAGAATTCAATCAACATAATATTAACTCAGGATTTTGGTATTTCATTTAAAAAGTCCTATGATATACATTTTTTCCTAACCAACCTGTGAATGTAGTATGTTGTTCGTACTTTGCTCATGAAGTTGACCGCAGCAATTTTTGACTTGAGTAGTAGCCTAGACTTGAGCTGTAGTTTGTTTAAAGTAAATTGAGGGAGAGTTGCTCAATTTGCCAGCCTCACTCCTCCTTGTCTTTTGATTCAATGGCAAGACTTAGTCAAGACATCTGGAAATAGACCAGGATGCAGTAGATGACCAGCACTGTGTCTTGTGTGCTTCACTGTGCTTGTCTAGTCGTTTTCTGGGGATTGAACTTCATTCCACTAGCTTGGATTGACTCACTTTAGACCGCTCGGCCACCCAGAACCCTTAAAATATTATAAACTAAAGATTTGCCATCTGCTATGTAGTGGTATTATCATACTCTTGTTAAAACTTTTTTTTTTTAAAAATCGGCGCAAAAGCATTTGCTAAAATATTCTACTAACAGGAGACATACAAAGGGTCAAGGAAATTTTAGATCAAGATTCAAGTCAGAGAGATGCCCATTCCCCTCAAGACGGTGCCACACCTTTGATGTTTGCTGCTATGACGGGCAGACTGGACATAGCTGAGCTGTTGGTGCTGAAAGGCTGTGATGTCAACAAGCAAGACTTAATCAGCGGTTGGACGGCTTTAATGCAGGCCACTTACCATGGGTATGACTTTGTCAAGCAGATAATAGTGAGTGAGAAAGTCAAGGCAGATGAGGCTGCTGTGTGATACAAAAAAGGACCAGGTTCCGTACGCAGCTGAATAATTCTCTCTATTTCTTCATGATTCCAGGAAAAAGAATGTTGCAATGTTCTTACTTTTGATTGGGGCGGATGTCAATATCCAAGCTAAAAACGGCTGCACAGCTTTTGACATGGCATCACTGATAGGTACCATGCTAAGTTAAATTTGGTATAGGTAAAATGCTAGGTTAATTTGTTTTTTTTTTTCCAACCTAAAATTATTACAAATATAACTGTTTGAAGTAGCAGAGCCTGTAAAAGTGCTGAGGGCGGGTCTTCTCTTAATACTTCAAATATAGAGTCGAACCTTTTTTAACAAGATGATTCGATATGTAGTTAAACAATAGGTAGATATCTTCCTTTGATGTAAATAAATTTAAAGTCTGGATATCCCACGGCCCTTTTAATGTTTTACGTTAAAAATTGTTAACCTTCCTTATTGGAAGTTTTTAGGAATTCATGTTCAATGTTGTAGTGAACATGTATTTTGATAATGAATACATGGTAATGTATGATAATAATGTATTATGATTACGTGGTAGCTGCCTATCAGATAACTGACTAAAACTTTGTATTAGATGACGTTGACACAGAGTTACTACGTCAGTTGGCAGCCAAAGCCATGCAGGTCAATAAAGTGGACAAGAACAAAAAGAACAGATCCAAAGCCAATGATATGACTGCAACTCTGAGTAATGACCTCAGGTCAGTTTTAGCTGGTGTGACTTATATCCACTGTCGTCTGTAGTTGTGAGAAATGAATGAAGAGAGGTCAGTTTCAGCTGGCGTGACTTAATATCAATTGACGTCTCATTCTACCTCCTTTTTTCTAAAGGTCTGGCATTTTGTAAAAGAATTATAAGTAAACATCTTGAAGGAATGATTTTTCCTGTATCTTACAATAAAGAAATCATAACACGTCTATAAGCTAAACATATTTTTTCCCCTATATTTTGAGGGCCCACGTGTTGTGATCATTACCAGTGTTAAGTTGGTTTCAATTTTAGTTTTAGTCGATGAAATGCCTTTTTTCTTTATTTTTTCCATAGCATGGAGTCGGAGAACCCAAAAAGTGGACTTAAGGTAACAAGTGCTGATATTTTTTTAACTGTAGAAGCCATAGCAAGATAACAACAAATACACCTCTAAAAATATTTTTTTTAAATTTCCACTATGCTACAAAAAAAATCTTAAGCAGACGTTCCAACATCATGTGTAGTTGATTTTGTCAGTGTGATTTTCGGAGGCAATATTTTAAACTCTCCCACCCTCACCTCAGCAATTTTTTTATTTAATGTTTAGCCATAATTCAAACAATAATTAATATTCTTCACGTTACCTGTGAAACAGTTTAAGTTAACCATATATATTTTTTTTAAATATTTGGTCAGCTAGAATGAAATAAAAAAAATAGTTCCTGCCATGTAAAAGAATCAAATGTAAAGCTGAAAACATGGTAAATGATTTAAAATGACTCATATTATAAACAACAGCTGCAATGTACTTGCCCTATTATATAATTCATGAAATCTCAAGTGAAATTGAGCTTTTGTCTCAAGACTTTTTATAGTAACTTTGCTATGTGTCACTACAATACCACAACCTAATAGAGAATGGAATCCAGGGCCTCATTTCAGAATAAAAATTCTGATAGTAAGTTGAACAAGGAATCATATTGTATGAATTGGGGGATTCCATCAGCTACTAGAAATGAACATGACCTTGACCTTTCAACAGCGCGTACAATATTGTGCTACGATTTTTCCATCTTTAAATCACACCCACACTGACTGTATGGGTCCTTGTGATCATCTAAATATGTTTTTCAGAAACAGAAAAAATATTCTTTCAATTTAGAAAATATAAAAGTTATTTGGATTAAAGAAATTTTGTTTAAAGTCATTCATTGGTAACCTAAATAATTCTTTATATAATGCCTATAAAATGCATCTGTAGCCCATTTTCCACTATTTTCACTATTAGAACTTAACTTCCAGTAGTGCAAGCTCCAATATCATAAAATCATAACTAAGAGTAATGCAAAAATAAGTATCTTCAAAATGACTTTTATAAAGAAATAATTTAAATAAATTAGTTTTTTATTTTTCAGGTCCAACATATATGTCCTACATTGTCCTACAAGATTGTTTTAACTAAAGACTGCTAAAATTTCAGTTGGATTTAGGATTTAACTAAAAAATATGAGCCCATAAATTTTAAAATATTTACCTTATTTTTCACTAAAAGGGGACAAAATCTCCTTTACAAGAGTTATCCTCCTTTAAAACCCTTTAAAGATTCTTATATTATGCATTATATTAATAATTTATGTAGAGGCTGATTATATTACCCCTAAAACCACACTCTATCGCTGTTATGACGGTTGATGGGTTAAATATTGTTGGGGATAGTAGGAATGAATTAAATTTTGTGCACTACAAGGAGTAAATCTTGTTTGAAGACTTTGTGCTGGAATGTCTGTGATAAAATTTATTACCATTTATCCTTTAATAACCTTCTTTACTTTCAAACG